ATTTTACTATTAAGCTCACAGATAAAGACATTTTAAAAATCCTTTGGGATGTGGGTGGGGGGAGGGAGAGAGAAAGAGAGAGAGATTGGGTTGGGTTGGGTTTTTTAAAGACTGGGCTTGGTTGTCATTCCCACGTACAGGCATGCTTTCTGAACAGATTATTGCAACATGATCAGGAGCCTATACTTGAAGACTTTAATGCAGATTCCACATGCACACATAATTGGTTGTTGTTTTTAATCTGGTCACTTTGCATACGGGTGTGTCACCCTGTTCTGCCAAACAAAGCTTCCATTTTTCAGCCTCTGGTCATGGACCAGGAACAGACAGACACTCAGCCACGGCATTATATAAACACTAGAATATTGTTATTGTACATTCTACTTGTGTTCTGTTATACGAATAGCTTGATTTCACAACCTCATAGTGACTTTCTGGTATGAATGTGTTCTACACAATGAGATCTGACCTACAGGAATATGTTTGTTTTTTGTCTCTAGGACCCTGAGGCGGCGCAGGTTGTGGGCCATCCGTCAAGGGTGTGGTGCTGCTGCTTCTACCTGGGACTGGCCCTCATGCTGTCAGGTGTGGTCGTGGGCGGAGCTTACTTGTACAAGTACTACGTGCTGGAGGTGAGGTCACCGTGTGAGAATTTTCTCACGTGTATTTGATATCCTCAGAGAAGAGAGTATATGTTGTTCTATCACAAATTTGAAAATAAGTGTATATCTACATCTACAAAAGAAATACATTTTATTCACAACTGTGAATAACTGTGAACATGATGAAATGGTAGGCTTTTTCTCCATATGTACTGGTTTTATCTTGAAGACGCTTTAGGTTGCTATGGGAAAAGAAAACATACACCTCATAGCACACTTACGCAGGATTTACTTGAGAATCAGTTGCATTAGTCACTAATACGATGATCCACCACTCCTACTGAACTTCATTTACTACTAAGACAAATTGAGTTTTAGCTATTAGAGTACATCGCTGTATGAAATTTTAAAATACTTTTAAATGTCCTTTTGACACATTGTTTGTTATTGACTTCCACAGGTAATATTAAGTGACTTATTACACCATATTATACCACAGTGTTGTTGAAGTCTTGATTTCAGGTGTTGATTAAATTTCTATAACGGCAGCTCTGACAGTAATTCTGGCTATAATTCAAGTTCAAGTTTGTTTTATTGTCAATATGTTTCCAGAATACAAAGTAAATGAGAAACAGTGAAATTCTTGTGCTATAGTGGCGCATGTATGGTTAACATAACACGCATACAATAGACAGCAGCATAAAGTGACAAAACACAAGTGAGATTTCATGTGGAACAAATAGTGCAAATTGAATAATAAGAAAAGAAAACCATGTATTATACAGTACCATAAAGATAAGTGTAAACAACACAGAATTGTGCAAAAATATTAATAATTGGTAAGTTTAAAGAGAAGTATTATGATTAATAATCAAATATTAATACCCTCATTCTAATTTTGTTACTGATTCTATAGTAATATCTTACACAGTGACTTAAGAATAATAATAAAATGATTAGAATTGTATTATTGAATATGAATCACATGTAAGTGAATCACATGTAAATGAATCATATGAAAATTAATAAATGAATAAAGGCAAAAAAAGAATTGTTATTAAATGTAAAATCATTTTCTGCTAAGAGACATTTATTTAACATCTATCAAAGGAGTCTCCAGTGTCAGCGCTTTGTAACAGTCAGTAGTTTCTCCGCCATGGAAAAGTCTTCAGGACAGAGGAATTTATGCATTGGGGTTTCTTGGTAACATGACAATATGTTGAACAACTGTTTATAGCTGCGATAATTTGGGGGCATGCTGTTATAGTAAAATAGTCAGAGTAACAGTCTCATACCACCAAGTCAGTGATTATTTTCCTACAACAGCATGTCCCCCAATTTTTATTCCTTTCTTATGTTTTATCATCCAGATGTCAGAGTCATGTGTTCATTCCCGTGTGTGTGAGTGTAGGAAGGGCAGGTGTTTGTGTGTGGCATAAAGTACCGTGAGGAGAACTACAGGATCCAGGAGGAGAACGATGATTTAGTGCAGGAACATGCACTGGGCTTGCGTAGGATTGACGAGATCGTGCGAGTGCTGCAGGACGAAGAGGTGGAGCTCATCAACGTCCCGGTTCCCAACTTCAGCGACAGTGACCCGGCCGTTATTGTGCACGACTTCAAACGGGTGAGGAACATTTGCACACAAAACACATTATTCAAATTATTTAGATTACTTTTTATTTATTATTATTATTATTATTATTATTATTATTATTATTATAAATGTATTTATTTATTTTAATTTTATTATTATTATAAGGCTGGGGCAGTAACGAAATACATTTAATGGCATTACACAATCAGGATACTAAAAACTGGTAACTGTAATGTGTCACAATTATGTCAAAAACAAAGTAATCAGATTACAACTACATTTAGTAAAAAATGGGAATACTATCAGGATTACATTTTTTTTTGTCATTTAAAAGCAAATAAATTAACCTTTTGACATAACAATTTAGACAGCTG